AAGAGCTGGGTGCACACATGTTGATAGCTTACACACAAAATCCCAGTACTTACAAAGCTGAGGCTGGAAGTTGAGAAATTTAAAGATAACCTGGACTATACATTGAGACCTATCTCCTCCCCAACAAAAACAATAAAAGAAGTAGTAAATGTAAATGCCAAGATATTTGACATTTCTTGAGAAAAATGAGGAATTAGTTGATAAATTAAATATATTTTTAAAATAAAAGAGATAGATTATAAATACAATAAGCCACATCATTAAGATACTAGGTATAGAAATTCTAATTTCAGATAGAAATTCTAATTTCTAGATAGAAATTCTAATTTCAGAGTGCTGGAGAAAAGGCTGAGCATGTAAGAGTATATCTTGCTATTTCATCAGACTTGAGTCCAACTCCTAACATCCATACAGTGTAGCTTACCACCACCCGTGACAACAGCACTGTGACAACCACATGTATCCTGTGATGTCCAGAGTGTCTAGTGCCTTCTTCTGGCATGTAGAAGCATTTTTATATACATGCACATGTGCATAAATACAAAGAAACACACATACACACAAATTAAACCATGATAGGATAAAATAAAAAGGAGATTTTAATTTCAAATTTCCTTTATAAGGCTTAAATTAGTAATTATTTTTTATCAAGACATTAGTTTCTCATCTTAAAAGCAGAACAAAAAATGATCTATACCTTCAATTGTAATCTGGTTTCAAGGCACAAAGCTGGCATCAGGAAAGACAGTTTGTATAAAATATAAACCATCCAATAAGCACAAAGTGGAGCCTTTCAGACAGCATCATCTCTGCTCCAGAGATATTTAACTTTTAAAAAAGGCACCAGCAGAATATGTGTTTATTTATGTATGTTTTGTTAGCACAATATGAGAAAATGGGTTGTAGCTAGAGTTTTCCTGACTGGCCCACAGTCAGGACAAATCTCTGTCACCCACCAGTCCCATAGCCACTTAGACCCAACCAAATAAACACAGAGACTTATATTGCTTACAAACTGTATGGCCATGGCAGACTTCTTGCTAACTGTTCTTATATCTTAAATTAATCCATTTCTATAAATCTATACCTTGCCATGTGGCTTGTGGCTTACCAGCATCTTCACACACTGCTTGTCATGGCGGTGGCTGGCAGTGTCTCCCCCCTCCTTCCTGTTCTCTCAATTCTTCTCACTGTTAGTCCCACCTATACTTCCTGCCTGGCCACTGGCCAATAAGTGTTTTATTTATTGACCAATCAGAGCACATAGAGACCATCCCACAGCACTTTCCCTTTTCTTTCTTTTCATTTTTTTAAAAGGAAGGTTTTAACTTTTACACATCTCCAAAGTCAGCTTGTTATATTTGGGGATTTGGGCATAGCTTCTCTTACTACTTCCTGCTGGAGGGGGGCATTGTATCTTATGGGACACAAAAAAAATTTTAGGATTATGGAGTAGTCCATGAGGGTGTATAATCTGAGCCAGTTGCCTTGGAATGGTTCTGGATATTGAATCATCTGGGTCTTGATGTCATCAGACGCCTTTCAGTGGGTCTTGGCTAGTCAAACCTGATGTATCTTAATCTGGAACAAATTCATAGCCTTTGACTTTTGTGGAAACAACAGCAGAGCCTCCTTTCCAAAGCAACATATCCTTACATCCAAATTTTGAAGTCAAGGTACCTTTAAAATATACATTTTGTCATAACTCACCAGCTTTTGCAATCAAATGTTTTTCTTCAGTTATGAATATCAAAGAGAATATAATCTAGCTTCTCTATGTGGTAGCCATCTTTACTTGGCTTATTTTTTATATTACCTTGAGTCTATTGCTTTAAACTGCAGCATTCTAAGACTGAAACTGCACTGTGGCTGCTGGCTCCGCCCACTTCAGCTTCCCAACATGGCAGTGGTACGTTTTCCACCAGCTCTGGGATCCATCAACTCTCAGAAATAGTGG